CAAGAGCTTCGAAGTCGCTGTTTTTTCCAAAACATATTAGAAAATGTTTAAGTTTTTAAAAATTCAGAAAATAAACCATTCTTTCTAAAAAGTAAAATTTAGGTTCCGAAAAAGTTCCTCCACGAACCAAAAACTTCCGCAAGTCGATACTTATTCGACCGATTGGCAACACTGCGTGGTCGATTACTGCTACAAAGTAAGCTTATGCCTTTGCATAGTTGCTCATTTAGGTAATCAACAAAATGCGGCGCGGCAAGTTTCAAAATTCAAAGTACTTCCGAAGAGAGAGAGAGAGAGATGGAAAAAGCCGATACATTGACATTGACAAATCTTTGTTATTCCTAAAAAACAAAAGTTTCTAGGTATTCCTTGAAGTTATCAGATTTCATTTGTTTCTTATACCAGACGAGACCTCTAACAAAACATTGCAACGTTTGGAAGACTGAGAAGAAGACAAATATACTAAGTGACATATAAATCCGAATTTTAATAAAAGTTGGTGAATGTATTTATCTTACTTCCCGATTTTATACTGCTTTTTTTTTAATTCACTAACGCTCTAAAAATGAATATTTCAGCCGCAGTAAAGAATCAACGTTGGCGGATTTTGGTTCTTGACATCCTTTACGATCGGTTACGATGCCTAGAGTACGGAGACCTGTACCATTTCGTCAACTTAGTGAGTTTGATAGGGGCCGTATAGTTCGGCAAGCTGGACTTTCCTTTCGGGCAGTTGCAGTTAGAGTGCAAAGAAGTGTAGACACTGTGGTTAGGTGTTGTCAGGCATGGCTTCGAGAAGGCCGTACGCAAAGAGCAAGGGGCACTGGACGCCGCCGTAGAACAACAGACCGTGAAGATCGCCGCCTAACATTATTGGCCTTAAGGGACCGTTTCTCCACTACCAGGTCCATTGCAAATGAATGGTTTGCAGAACACGGAAGACCTATTGGCATGCGAAGTGTTTACCGACGAATGAGAAGTTTTGGCTTGTTTTCATACCGGCCACACTGGGTCCTCCCTTTAACTCGAGAACACCGACGTAATCGCCTTGAGTGGTGCAGACAACGGTCACTCTGGGATCAGGAATGGAACAGTATTGTCTTTAGTGACGAGTCTCGATTTTGTTTAGGCATGCACGATGGTCGTGCCAGGGTTAGAAGGCGACGTGGTGAAAGGAGGAATCCACAGTTTTTTGTTGAAAGACATGTTCATCTCACTGTTAGAGTTATGGTTTGGGGTGCTATAGCTTATGGTTCCAGGTTACCTTTAATCTTCATCAGAGGTAACATGAACGCGCAGCGTTATATCTACGAAGTTCTAGAACCCCATCTTTTACCCTATCTTGACACCCTGGCAGATCCAACTTTCCAACAAGATAATGCCCGACCACATGTTGCAAGAGTCACAATAGACTTCTTTCAACATAATGATATCACATTGTTACCATGGCCACCAAGATCTCCCGACTTATCCCCAATTGAGCACGTGTGGGATATGATGGGTAGGAGATTGCTCAATTTGCAACGTCCTCCTCAGACTCTAGAAGCACTTCGAGAGGAGTTGGTGGTAGCCTGGAATGAGATACCACAGGAGGACATTGACCACCTGATCAGAAGCATGCCTAGGCGCGTTGGAGAATGCGTAGCACATCAGGGTGCATCCACACATTATTAAAGGTCGAAGGGCTTTAAAGCAGTGCAATCATTTTGAAATTTTTATCATTTACTTATTATGCTTCATTAAGTAATTATACAAAATTTTATTAAAATAAAACCATTTAAACTGGGTGTTCGGATTTATATGTCACTTAGTATAAATCAGCAGTGAGCAATGTACAGAGAAGAGTCTGACTTTGCCTACAGAATAACGGACAACATTTTGAACATCTGCTATGATTTACCTCTGCTTATTTACAATTACATTATTACCATCAATAAAATTTTGTGCTCGAAGTTTCACCATACTTTATTTCTTTAAAGTTTTCATGCAACAACAAATTCATGGCCAACTAAGGAAATACATCACTTAATTTAGGACTGAAAAGTCAATTTAAATGTGCAAAATTCTACAGTAGCGTCCATATGAAAAGACAAAATTGGTGATGGAAGTCAACATTTTTAAACTTCTAACCTATCAAATGTATTTACATTTTTTATATTGTTTTTCAGGTTTTCTTTTTTTTTGAGTCAAGTGGCAGAGTAGCATTACCCTAAATAAAGACGATTTATTATTATTATTAAAAGAAATGTCGAATTGAAAATTTGTCTTCGCCATCTTGCAGCATAAGTAAGAAAGACGACAACATGCAATTTATTTTGAAATCTCATTTCAAATGAAGCCAGAAAAAATAAAAGTGATTTGGCGATAAATCTGGTAGCCAAACTGCTTTTTTGAAATAACCAAGGTCAATGTATAACATGTGTATATTTTTGGAATCATAAATAAAAACTCTATTCATCGATGCAAAAATCCAATATTGCGTTCATGAGAATAAACAAAGTTGATGCTGGAGGACAAGAAACGAAACGTCATATTGAAATTCTAATTATGCCATCTCGTAGATTAGAAAAAGTGGCAATGTCAATGTGTAATTTATTTTGAAATCCCACTACAAACTTAAGCAAAAAAACGACTTTGGGAAAATTATTTTTTTCCGTCTCTCTCCGAAAATATACTAAGTGACATATAAATCCGAACACCCAGTTTAAATGGTTTTATTTTAATATGAATGTATTTATCTTACTGTAAATAACAAGTGAAAAAATTTTCAGCCTTATCAGTTGGTTTTTATACTGTTTTTTTTTAATTCACTAACGCTCTAAAAATGAATATTTCAGCCGCAGTAAAGAATCAACGTTGGCGGATTTTGGTTCTTGACATCCTTTACGATCGGTTACGATGCCTAGAGTACGGAGACCTGTACGATTTCGTCAACTTAGTGAGTTTGATAGGGGCCGTATAGTGGGACTTCGGAAAGCTGGACTTTCTTTTTGGGCAATTGCAGTTAGAGTGCAAAGAAGTGTAGACACTGTGGTTAGGTGTTGTCAGGCATGGCTTCGAGATGGCCGTACGCAAAGAGCAAGGGGCACTGGACGCCGCCGTAGAACAACAGACCGTGACGATCGCCGCCTAAGATTATTGGCCTTAAGGGACCGTTTCTCCACTACCAGGTCCATTGCAAATGAATGGTTTGCAGAACACGGAAGACCTATTGGCATGCGACGTGTTTGCCGACGAATGAGAAGTTTTGGCTTGTTTTCATACCGGCCACACTGGGTCCTCCCTTTAACTCGAGAACACCGACGTAATCGCCTTGAGTGGTGCAGACGACGGTCACTCTGGGATCAGGAATGGAACAGTATTGTCTTTAGTGACGAGTCTCGATTTTGTCTAGGCATGCACGATGGTCGTGCCAGGGTTAGAAGGCGACGTGGTGAAAGGAGGAATCCACAGTTTTTTGTTGAAAGACATGTTCATCACACTGTTAGAGTTATGATTTGGGGTGCTATAGCTTATGGTTCCAGGTCACCTTTAATCTTCATCAGAGGTAACATGAACGCACAGCGTTATATCCACGAAGTTCTAGAACCCCATCTTTTACCCTATCTTGACACCCTGGCAGATCCAACTTTCCAACAAGATAATGCCCGACCACATGTTGCAAGAGTCACATAGACTTCTTTCAACATAATGATGTCACATTGTTACCATGGCCACCAAGATCTCCCGACTTATCCCCAATTGAGCACGTGTGGTATATAATGGGTAGGAGATTGCTCAATTTGCAACGTCCTCCTCAGACTCTAGAAGCACTTCGAGAGGAGTTGGTGGTTGCCTGGAATGAGATACCACAGGAGGACATTGACCACCTGATCAGAAGCATGCCTAGGCGCGTTGGAGAATGCGTAGCACATCAGGGTGCATCCACACATTATTAAAGGTCAAAGGGCTTTAAAGCAGTGCAATCATTTTGAAATTTTTATCATTTACTTATTAAGTACTTATACAAAATTTTATTAAAATAAAACCATTTAAACTGGGTGTTCGGATTTATATGTCACTTAGTATACTTTAATTTGGGAACTTTCTAAGCGGCATTTTGTCCGCTTTGCCCCCATTTAAGCGACTTCGTATCTCTTACAGTTTCTGAGATCCCAGTGGTGAAGTTCGAACTTGGAACACGCTGTATAATCTATTATTTAAAATTGAAAAAAAATAATACCCAAAACAATAATCGACTATCAAATAAACAATGGCTCTTTGAAACCCTCTTCAGCCATGGGTCTGGGGAGGGGTACTTACCCCCTCTACTCCTCCTTGGCTACGCGCATGGACACAAGGATAGCTAAACCAATCCACCGGTTCACAACAAAGGTGCAGAGTTGGGACAGTGCACGTGTTTTGTAGGGATAGAAAAGCTCAAGCTACATTTTTGTTTGTTGAAAAATGGAATAGAATACCCCAGAAATACCCAACGATTTTATTTCCCTAGGACATTATAACCCTTCGAAAATTCCCCAAGGGAAGTAAAAATCCCCCCAATATGACTGCCCTGGGGAGGAAGGGGGGTAGGGGGTACGTGACACGGACTCTAACCAGGTAACGCGCGTGCTTTCCGGCTCCATCTTAGGGGGCAGTACCTCCACGTTCCGTCTGCCATCTACGGATAATTCTCCTGGGACGGGATTCCAACCCTCACACTCACGGTGACTACTTATCAGACTCACAGCTTAAGCCGTTACGCCACAGTGATTTTGTTCAGTGGATCGAAATAGATACAGGAAGGATCCCGTCTGCAATAAGTGGCCCAAACACGTCTCATCAAGGGCAGATCAAAGCAGAATTTGAGGGTCTGGGCGGTAGCATCGGCACGGCACGTGTTATCTTTACGGTCGATCAGCTGATCAACCGAGCGGCAACCGAATTGATGGCGAGCTTCTGATACACTTCGCTGGCTAATCCAGACGAGGACGTATGCATCCCGAATCAATATTCGGAAAATGGAACCATTGCCGCAAGCAATGTACGATTTCGAAAATTATTGCTATTACCTGCAGGGCGAGTAGGCAAAGCAACGAACGCGGTAGAGAAATAGCGATGTTGATATTGAACAGTTCTTGAGTGTAATTTGGAATATATACTAAGTGACATAAAAATCCGAACACCCAGTTTAAATGGTTTTATTTTAATAAAAGTTGGTGAATGTATTTATCTTACTGTAAATAACAAGTGAAAAATTTTTCAGCCTTATCAGTTGGACATTCCGGTTTTTATACTGCTTTTTTTAATTCACTAACGCTCTAAAAATGAATATTTCAGCCGCAGTAAAGAATCAACGTTTTCGGATTTTGGTTCTTGACATCCTTTACGATCGGTTACGAAGCCTAGAGTACGGAGACCTGTGCGATTTCGTCAACTTAGTGAGTTTGATAGGGGCCGTATAGTGGGACTTCGGGAAGCTGGACTTTCTTTTCGGGCAATTGCAGTTAGAGTGCAAAGAAGTGTAGACACTGTGGTTAGGTGTTGTCAGGAATGGCTTCGAGAAGGCCGTACGCAAAGAGCAAGGGGCACTGGACGCCGCCGTAGAACAACAGACCGTGAAGATCGCCGCCTAAGATTATTGGCCTTAAGGGACCGTTTCTCCACTACCAGGTCCATTGCAAATGAATGGTTTGCAGAACACGGAAGACCTATTGGCATGCGAAGTGTTTACCGACGAATGAGAAGTTTTGGCTTGTTTTCATACCGGCCACACTGGGTCCTCCCTTTAACTCGAGAACACCGACGTAATCGCCTTGAGTGGTGCAGACAACGGTCACTCTGGGATCAGGAATGGAACGGTATTGTCTTTAGTGACGAGTCTCGATTTTGCTTAGGCATGCACGATGGTCGTGCCAGGGTTAGAAGGCGACGCGGTGAAAGGAGGAATCCACAGTTTTTTGTTGAAAGACATGTTCATCACACTGTTGGAGTTATGGTTTGGGGTGCTATAGCTTATGGTTCCAGGTCACCTTTAATCTTCATCAGAGGTAACATGAACGCGCAGCGTTATATCCACGAAGTTCTAGAACCCCATCTTTTACCCTATCTTGACACCCTGGCAGATCCAACTTTCCAACAAGATAATGCTCGACCACATGTTGCAAGAGTCACAATAGACTTCTTTCAACATAATGATGTCACATTGTTACCATGGCCACCAAGATCTCCCGACTTATCCCCAATTGAGCACGTGTGGGATATGATGGGTAGGAGATTGCTCAATTTGCAACGTCCTCCTCAGATTCTAGAAGCACTTCGAGAGGAGTTGGTGGTTGCCAGGAATGAGATACCACAGGAGGACATTGACCACCTAATCAGGAGCATGCCTAGGCGCGTTGGAGAATGCGTAGCACATCAGGGTGTATCCACACCTTATTAAAGGTCAAAGGGCTTTAAAGCAGTGCAATCATTTTGAAATTTTTATCATTTACTCATTATGCTTCATTAAGTACTTATACAAAATTTTATTAAAATAAAACCATTTAAACTGGGTGTTCGGATTTATATGTCACTTAGTATACATATTTATTGATAATACTACTAAAGGGCCATTTTTTTCGCACAAAATAATCAGACAAATGAAAGTATACGCACTATTAAAAGACTGATACAACTGATCGAACCAAAGACTACATACAATAACACAAAAAGTTTGCCAAATTTAGATAAACGATAAGAGTAGTAAACAGAAAACGCTAAGGTTTTACACAGTCGGGAATATCAAAAAAGCTGTGTCATAACATTCTTATTTTTAAAAATTTTCAATCCCACTCCGCTCTAAGAACAAATTGAGCATCACATGGTGTAGATTTTTCCGATTTGTTTTAAAAGCCTATAATTTGAGGAGTATACGATTTTTTTATATAGGGTGGCCCATAAGTCCTTTGAGCGGGAAAAAAAGGAATAAAACCAACCTAGTTACATTATGAAGAATTATTATATTTTGTTATCATCTTTATTGAGTGGGAATTATGTTTTAAAAATCACATCGTCTAAATGCAATCCATTACGATCACGGCACTCATATAAACGACGTCTAAAATTGTCGATGACTGCGCGGCAAGTCAACACTGTAATGCTTGCCATTTCTCTTCGGATATTTTCTTTCAGGACATCAACTGATCGCGGAGTGGTGTCGTACACTTTACTCTTGAGGTAGCCCCATTGGGGTCAAATCTGGACTACGTGGTGGCCAGGAAATGTCTCCTCTTCGAGAAATTACTTTGCTGGGAAAAAGTTGACAGGCGACGGGCATGGAAGTGTTGGAGGTGTGGGCAGTTGCTCCGTCCTGTTGAAACCAGGTCTGCGTATTATAGCCTGGAAAATTCTGCAACGCTGGTGTCAAAAACTCTTCTATCACTGCTACATACCGCTCCGAAGTAACAGTTAATGCGCGACCTCTGTCGTCCTCAAAAAAATAAGGGCCTACGATGCCATGCGCTGACATAGCAGCCTAAACTGTAACTTTAGGGCTGTGTAAGGGCTTCTGATGCTTACGCCTTGGATTTTCGGGGATCCAATAACGGCAATTTTGTTTATTTACATGCCCGATTAAATGGAAGCGAGCCTCGTCCGGGAACAACACATTATTGAGCGAAGAAAATCGATTCAACATTTCATTCGCAAAGTTTAGTCTCTGAATAGCGTCATTATCTTTTAATTCCTGCACTAACTGAATTTTGTAAGCGTGCAGACGTAAATCTTTCCTTAAAATCCGCTGTAAAGATGTTCTGGGTACGTTTAGTGCACTGGAACGCTTACGAGTAGACTGGGTAGGATTTTGACGAACAGACTGTGCCACAATGTTGATGTTTTCTTCAATACGAGTTGTCCTTGGTCGACCCCACCGCTGTTTATCTAACGTCGAACCAGTCTCTTCGAACTTGGCAATCCAGTTCTTAATCGTTTGAGCTGTTGGACACTTTGTAAAATTGTGTAAATTGTGGTATTCTCGATATTTACGCCGCGCAATGGTTGCCGAATCATTATTTTGATAAAACGCGCGCACACAAAAAGCACGATCCGCTCCAGTGAAACACTCCATGGCGACTGAATTCCCAGACACTGAAGATACTGCCCCCACATCGCCCGCGCCGCTCACGCTCACCCGTTAAATTTTATTCAAATTTGAAATTTCAAAGGACTTATGGACCACCCTGTATTTTTCTGATAACTATTATGACCTATGCCCCGTTTCCGGCTTGACGTTGGCTTCCGGGACACCCTGTATACAAGTGAATAATCTATTTCAATCAATAGCTATACGTTATACATGTAATCTAATGTCATGAACATGCTGAAAGTCTCAAATGAGCTTTCATGATAGCCTGTCTAACAACAGTGTGAGGTAAACGTTACCTGAATGGTTAATGCTGATCAAAGTGCTGTCAGCTGTCAGTCTGTGGTACTAGATACTCCACAGGAGCAAATCACTTTAGGAGAAGGTAAATTTGCAAATTCCACAATCAAACCATGCGAAGTATCGCCGCATGCATTTAGACAGAAGAGCTACGTGGCAAATGCACATTTTCTCAAATAATAACGTCAAGTAGCTTGTCTGTGCATTTCCCACGCAACGCTGTTGTTTAATGATTATGTTCAGCATAAGCTAGTCGCTCTGAGACAGCTGCAATCATGTATCACATGAAAACTAAATGGATCAAGTCAGCCGAATGTGCCCATACAATAAGGGCCGTGTCGTAAGTCTTTCCTACAACTGTAGGTCGCCTTTATGGCTTCCTTGATTTTTATAGTTTTCCTTGTGCTCAGGAAGGTATGGGAATTTCTACTGTTCCGTGTCAGCGCTCTGTTTTGAGGTTATATTTTCTTTTTCGATTCTAAGATAATACTTGATTTTGTTCATCTGTTTCATCAAACTGAAATTTCTTAAGATTCAAAAAGAAAACATAACCTCACAATAGGAGAGCGCTGACGTCGACACGGAACTGTAGAAATCTAGAAATACCCCAGCCTTTCAGAAGTAGACGAAATGCTATGAAAATCTTCCATCCATACTAGCTGATCTCCACTCACTTAATAAGGCTAATAAGAGTTAAAATTTTAAAATGCTTGAAAATATTTTTACAACAATGTTTGCTACCGACTCCGATCATACACTTTACCATTCTTTTTTGGGCCAAAAATATTTGCTGCGTATTTGTGGACAAACCATATTAGTACCAATAAAGTAATAATTAGTCACAAAGAGAAAAGCAGAAATGCCTGGATTACCAAAGGATTTATAACATCGGCAATAGAAAAAGAAAGACTATATAATGTAATGAAACTAACGCTAACTACAGATAATACCGACTGCTACAACCAATATAAAAATAAATTTATAGAGCTTGTAAGGCAAACCAAACGAAAACATTACCTAAATAGATTGAATAATAACTTAAATGATCCTAAGCGGCTTTGGACAACTATTGATGAGATTACTGGGAAAACAAAATTTAAAGAGTGTGTCACTGAGTTAAATACAACATCGGGAACAGTATTAAAAAATACTCAACAGATATGCGATGAATTTGTACAATTCTTTACTGACATAGGCGAAAATTTATATAGTAATATACAAGCAAATGTACAAAATACTCAGCCTCCAAAAAGAACTTTGAACTCATTTATTTTGGATAAAGTCGAGCAATGTGAAGTATACACCACTGTTATGTCCTTAAAAAATCGGAAAAGTCCTGGGTTCGATGGTATTAAAAGCGAGCATTTGAAAATTATAGCCGAGGACATAACAGAACCACTTACTTACCTAATCAACAAATGCTTTGAATCTGGCATATATCCCTCAATTTTAAAAAAAAAGGTAATATAATACCGATACATAAATCAGGAACAAAAACAGATGTTAACAACTATAGACCAATATCAATAATATCCAGTGTAGCAAAGGTTTTTGAAAAAGTTTTATCTACTAGAATGATGCGATACCTCACAAAATTCAATATTTTAAGTGAAAATCAATAT